AGGTGTGGTGGCTCACGTCTGTAATCCTAGCACTCTGGGAGGCCGAGGTGGGTGGACTACCTGAGCTCAGGAGTTTGAGACCAGCCTGGGGACCACGGTGTCTACTAAAAATACAAAAATTAGTTGGGCATGGTGGTGCATGCCTGTAATCCCAGCTACTCAGGAGGTTGAGACAGGAGAATCACTTGAACCCGGGAGGCAGAGGCTGCAGTGAACTGAGATCGTGCCACTGCATCCCAGCCTGAGGAACAGAGTGAGACTCCGTCTCCAAAAAAAAAAAAAAAAAGGGCCATTGTGATCCTAGACTTTTATTTTATTGGGAGTTTTTATTCTGCCTAGATGTTCTATCCATTTTTCAAAGTGGAGTACTGAAGTCTCTATTACTATAGAGCTATTTCTCCCTTCCAATCTGTCTGTTTCAGACAGTTTGGCGCTCTTTTTTGATGTGCATCTGCTTATAACTGCGGTATCTTCTTGATGACTCTACTCTTTTACAAATATACACTGTCTTTCTTTGTTGTCTATTTCATCTAATATTAGTATAGTCACCCCAGCTCTCTTTTGGTTATTCTCTGCATGGAATATTTTTTCCACCTTTCACTTTAAACTTATTATGTCTTTGAATCTAAAGCCTCTTGTGGCATATAGTTGGACCATGCTTTCTTACACATTCTGTCAATATTTGCCTTTTGACTGGAGACTTCACATGTAATTACTCAAAAGGAAGGACTTCTGCCATTTTGTTTTTGATAAATCTTTTACCTTTTTGTTCCTCAATTCCTCTACTGCTGTATTCTTATGTATTACCTTTTTTGTACTGTACCATTTTAATTCTTGCCTTACTTCTTGTGTCCATTTTTTTTTTTTTTTTGAGACAGTCTCGCTCTGTCACCCAGGCTGGAGTGCAGTGGCGTGGTCTCGGCTTACTGCAACCTCCGCCTCCTGGGTTCAAGGGATTCTCCTGCCTCAGCCTCCCAAGTAGCTGGGACTACAGGCGGGTGCCATCGCACCCAGCTAATTTTTTGTATTTTTAGTAGAGGTGGAGTTTTACTGTGTTAGCTAGGATGGTCTTGATCTCCTGAACTCATGATCTGCCCACCCTGGCCTCCCAAAGTGCTGGGATTACAGGTGTGAGCCACTGTACCTGGTCTCTTGTGTCCATTTTTAAGATTTTTTTTTTTTTTTTTTTTTTTTTTGAGACAGTGTCTCACTCTGTCGCCCAGGCTGGAGTGCAGTGGTGCAATCTCGGCTCACTGCAAGCTCCGCCTCCCGGGTTCATGCCATTCTCCTGCCTCAGCCTCTCGAGTAGCTGGGACTACAGGCGCCCGCCACTATGCCCAGCTAACTGTTTTGTATTTTTAGTAGAGATGGGTTTTCACTGTGTTAGCCAGAATGGTCTTGATCTCCTGACCTCGTGATCTACCTGCCTCGGCCTCCCAAAGTGCTGAGATTACAGGCGTGAGCCACCATGCCCGGCTCATTTTTAAGATTTTTTTTGAGGTGGAGTTTTGCTCTGTCACCCAGGCTGGAGTGCAGTGGCACAATCTCAATGCCTCTGCCTGGGTTCAACCTCTGCCTCCTGGGTTCCAGTGATTCTCCTGCCTAGCCTCCTGAGTAGCTGGGATTACAGGTGTCCACCACCATGCCTGGCTAATTTTTGTATTTTTAGTAGAGACAGGGTTTTGCCATGTTGGCCAGGCTGGTCTCGAACTCCTGACCTCAGGTGATCCATCTGCCTTGGCCTCCCAAAGTGCTGGGACTACAGGTGTGAGCCACTGTGTCAAGCTCATTTTTAAGATATTTTCTTAGTGATTACCATGATGATTGCACTGAACGTTCTAACATCCTAAAACAATTTAGACCAGTTAAGCCTCAGTAACATACAAAATCTCTGCTTCTCTACAAATGTTACCCCCACTTATATTGTCATCACAGATTACATCTTTATATATAGTGGGGTAAAAAACATAGACTTACGATGCTGACCTTTTATGCATTTGTCCTTTAGATCACTTAGGAAACATGTATTGGCAAAAACCACAATTAATTTTGCACCAACCTAATACAAAATGTACCTAGAAACCAAAATACAAGGATACTAACTTTTATACTTACCCATGTAGTTACCTTTACTGGAGGTCTTTATTTTTGTATGGCTTTGAGTCCCTGTCTAGTGTTCTTTCATTTCAACCTTTAGGATTCCCTTTAAAAGCATTTCTTGTAGGGCAGCCTATTTGTAACAAGCTTCCTCAGCTTTTATCTCTCTGGATATGTTTTAATTTCTCCTTCACTTTGAAGAATAATTTTGCCAGATAACAGAATTCTTAGTTAACAGGGTTTTTCCCCCCTCTTAGCAGTTTAAGCCGTCCCAGTGCCTTCTGACCTCTGGGTTCTGATAAAAAACTGGCTAGAAATCTTACCCAGAACCCCTTGTTCAGGATAGGTCTCCTCACTTGCTGTTTTCAAGATTCCTTGTATTTCAACAATTTGATTAGAAAGAGACCTGGTGCGGATCTCTTTAAATCTACTCAGTTTGTTGAACTTCTTGCATGTGTAGACATGCCTTTCATCACATTTGGGATACTCTCAGTCATTATTTCTTCAAATATTTTTTCCATCCCCTTCTCCACTCTTATCCTTCTTGAACATCCCTACTATATATGTTGGTCTACTTGATGGTGTCCCATGGTCCATTAAGTTCACTTTTCTTTTTTCTTTTTTTTGACACGGAGTCTCACTCTGTCACCCAGGCTGGGGTACAGTGGCACGATTTCGGCTCAATGCAATCTCCGCCTCCTGGGTTCAAGCGATTCTCCTGCCTCAGCCTCCAGAGTAGCTGGGACTACAGGCGCGTGCACCACGCCCGGCTGATTTTTGTATTTTTAGTAGAGACGGGGTTTCCCCATGTTGGCCAAGATGCTCTTGATCTCCTGACTTCAAGTGATCTGCTTGCCTCGGCCTCCCAAAGTGCTAGGATTACACGCGTGAGCCACCGTGCCCAGCCATGAAGTTCACTTTTCTTAGATCTTTTTTTTCTCCTCAGACTGATTTCAATTGTTCTGTCTTCAAGTTTGCCAATTTTTCTGCCTGCTCAAATCTACTACTGAAACCCTCTAGCAAAATTTCCACTTCATTTTTTAGTTCCACACTTTTTATGTTTCTTTTACAATTGTATTTCTCATTGATATATTAATTTTGTTCACACATCATTTTCCTGGTTTTTTTTTCTTGAGACAGAGTCTCGCTCTGTCCCCCAGGCTGGAGTGCAGTGGCGCAATCTTGGCTCACTGCAATCTCCACCTCCCGGGTTCACACCACTGTCCTGGCTCAGGCTCCAGACTAGTTGGGACTACAGGTGCCTGCCACCATGCCCAGCTAATTTTTTGTATTTTTAGTAAAGACGGGATTTCACCACGTTGGCCAGGATGGTCTCAATCTCCTGACCTCATGATCTCCCGCCTCGGCCTCCCAAAGTGCTGGGATTACAGGCGTGAGCCACTGCGTTCAGCCTAGTTCTCTATGGTTTCTTTTACCTCTCTGAGCATATTTGAAGCAGTTGATTTAAAGTGTTTGTCTAGTTAAGTACAATGTCTGCGCTTTCTCCAGGACACTTTCTGTCAGCTTACTTTTTCCTTTGAATGGGACATATTTTCTTGCTTTGTTATATGCTTCATGATTTTTGCTTTGTTAAAAACTGCACAACTGAATATGAAAATGTGGTATCCCTCCCCTAGGCTTTGCTGTTTTTGATTGTTGAAGACTAGAGTCACATGTTCATTTAGTGACTTTTCCAAACTATTTTTGCAAAGACTATTCTTTGTCGAGCACAGTCACTCAAGTCTTTTTCTTTAGCTTGTGTTCAACTAGTGTTTTGACAGAGATTTCTTTGAATACCAAGAGAAAAATAAAAACAAAACACTTCTCCCAGTCTTTGTGTCGGGGTACTTTTTTAACACTGTTTACAACTCTGAGTTGACTACCTTCACTGAGCCTAGAGATTAGCCAGAGTTCTTGTGAAAGCTTATGGTCTTAAGGTCTTTTCTGAACACACATCCAGTCCTGGGCATGCATGTGACTTCCTGGATTCCCCAAAATATATGGGTGCTTTTTTTTTTTTAAATTTGTTATTTTTTTTCTGAGACAGAGCCTCACTCCAGTTGCCCAGGCTAGAGTGCAGTGGCATGATCTCAGATCACTGCAACACCCGCCTACCACGTTTAAGCAATTCTTGTGCTTCAGCCTCCCAAGTAGCTGGGATTACAGGTATGTGCCACCACACCTGGCTAATTTTCGTACTTTTAGTAGAGACAGGGTTTTGCCATGTTGGCCAGGCTGGTCTCGAACTCCTGGCCTCAAGCAATCCGCCCGCCTCGGCCTCCCAAATTGCTGGGATTACAGGCGTGAGTCATCACACCCAGCCTTTCTTAATTTTTAGTAGAGACAGGGTCCTGCCATGCTATACTGGCTGGTCCTGAACTCCTGGCCTCATACGATTCTCCTACCTTGGCCTCTCAAAGTGCTCAGATCGTAGGTATGAGCCACCACACCCACTCCAAGGCTGCCTTTGAATGCCTTTATTTCCCCACAAGAAACTCCTCAGCTTTTCTTCCTAGGCTTTAGATGGCCAACTGTATGGGTAACCATGGTACAAAGGCCTGGACCAGAGTAGAGTCCTGAGGGGACGGGGTTGCCACTAGCCTGGCTGTTGAACTGGAAAGGGGTCAGGACTACAGGGCAAATCAAAGGACCCTGGTAGCCATCATGTCATACTTCTTTGTGTCAAGTGGGGAAAGCACAGTTCTGCTCAAGGTGCCAGGGGCCAGGCCAGGTCAACTTCCTTGCTGACATCCAGCCTTGGCTCCTTGAGTCAGAGTACCCCCACCACCCTCCCCACCTGTGATGACACAGATGACACAAATGCCTCCTAGGGGTAAGCACAGGGTTCCATGGACATCACTTCCTCAGAATAAGGGCACCAGGGGGAACTGTTCTTAAAGTACCTGGCTGCTGATAGTGAGGGCAGATGGCTTCCAGCTCAGTATCACTATAGCAGGGGGGACCACAGGCTGCAGATCCAGGGTGGGTCACAGCAGGAGCATCACTCACAGGGGCCTGGGCTGCAGGGGTCCAAGGGGATGGTCCTGGAGCAGAGAGCTCCATCTCTGCCTCCTCACGGCGAGTTCTGAGGCTGGGCATGACTAGGACCTGAAGACCAGCAAGAAAACAGGTGAGTATACAGACAGGCTAGCTCTAGGGATTCATCCTCCCATCAGGTCGGGGTCTCTTCCTCCACCCCTGCAGCCCAAGACCTGAAGAGGCCCTGGTGCTGCCTGGTCTCCGGGGCTGATGCTATGTTCCCTGATCCTGGACCCAAAAAGAGGGAGTCAGCCACGGAGACAAAGACTCACAAGCCAGGGCCACAGCTACAAAGGGGCAAGATTCTGACCCTAAGGCAAAGTTGGGTAACGGTGCCCAGGCCTACCATGATAGGAGGGCAGCCCCCATAGGGCCTTTATCCTGCTCTGGGGCCTGTGTCCTGCTGTGGGTCTGTGTCCTGCTGTGGGTCTGTGTCCTGCTGTGGGCTGTGTCCTGCTGTGGGTCTGTGTCCTGCTGTGGGTCTGTGTCCTGCTGTGGGTCTGTGTCCTGTGGTGGGCCTGTGTCCTGCTGTGGGTCTGTGTCCTGCTGTGGGTCTGTGTCCTGCTGTGGGCTGTGTCCTGCTGTGGGTCTGTGTCCTGCTGTGGTCTGTGTCCTGCTGTGGGCCTGCTGTGTGTCCTGCTGGTGGGTCTGTGTCCTGCTGTGGGTCTGTGTCCTGCTGTGGGCTGGGCCCTGCTGTGGGTCTGTGTCCTGCTGTGGGTCAGTCCTGCTGTGGGTCTGTGTCCTGCTGTGGGCCTGTGTCCTGCTGTGGGCCTGTGTCCTGCTGTGGGGGTGTGTCCTGCTGTGGGCCTGTGTCCTGCGGTGGGTCTGTGTCCTGCTGTGGGGTGTGTCCTGCTGTGGGGCTCCAAACCCATGGCCTGTAGTCCTGCGGTGGGCCTGTGTCCTGCTGTGGGGGTGTGTCCTGCTGTGGGCCTGTGTCCTTGCTGTGGGCCGTACTCGCTGTGGGGTCTGTGTCCTGCTGTGGGCCTGTGTCCTGCTGTGGGTCTGTGTCCTGCTGTGGGCCTGTGTCCTGCTGGGGTCTGTGTGTCCTGCTGTGGGTCTGTGTCCCCGCTGTGGGTCTGTGTCCTGCCAGGGCCGTGACCTGCTGTGGGCCTGTGTCCTGCTGTGGGTCTGTGTCCTGCTGTGGGCCTGTGTCCTGGCTGTGGGGTGTGTCCTGGCTGTGGGCTCCAGTCCTGCTGTGGGGGTGTGTCCTGCTGTGGGTCTGTGTCCTGCTGTGCTGTGCTCGCCGTGGCCTGTGTCCTGGCCGTGGGCTCCGTGTCCTGTCAGGGGCCTGTGAACCTGCTGGGGCCTGTGTCCTGCTGTGGGCTGTGTCCTGCTGTGGGCCTGTGTCCTGCTGTGGGCTGTGTCCTGCTGTGGGCCTGTGTCCTGTTGTGGGTCTGTGTCCTGCTGTGGGTCTGTGTCCTGCTGTGGGTCTGTGTCCCGCTGTGGGTCTGTAAACCAAGGTTGGCTCAGGCCCCATGTGGGCCTGTGTCCGGTTGTGGCCTGTGTCCTGCTGTGGGGGTGTGTCCTGCTGTGGGTCTGTGTCCTGCCGTGGGCCTGTGTTCTGCCGTGGCCTGTGTCCTGGCCGTGGGCCTGTGTCCTGCTGGGTGGGGCTCGTGTCCTGCTGGGGCTCAGTCCTGCTGTGGGCTCAGGCCCTGCTGTGGGGCTCAGGTCCTGGCTGAGGCCTGTGTCCTGCGGTTGGCCTGTGTCCTGCTGTGGGGCCGTGTCCTGCTGTGGGGGTGTGTCCTGCTGTGGGTCTGTGTCCTGCTGTGGGCCTGTGTCCCGCTGTGGGCCTGTGTCCTGCTGTGGCCACTCATATCACTCCTTGTTGCTGACATTCAAAATGCTCTGAAGCTGGGCACGCTAGACCCACCTAGAGTGGGAGAACAGCAGCTCCAAAGGTTGAGCAGCCAAGGGCAGCCTGTGCTGCAGCCCCACGTCACCATTATGTGTCAACGCCTACCAATCCTAGTGGTCAATTCTGTCTGAGTTGCACCATCCTGGAAGCATCCATACCATGTGTTCCCATCTTTACTTGCCTGGGATGTTTTTCCACTGCACCACCTACTCCCTTCTAGTCTCTCATTCCCCATTTCATGTTGGCACCCCAGTGTGCACTTCTGCACTGACACCAACTTCCTTGGTGATTACGTCCAGTCTTGAGGCATCAACATCCTTGTTAAGACTCACAAACTTGGGCTCATCTCCAGTCCTAACTACTCTCCGTGAGCAGAAGATAGGACACTCCCATGTGGAGGCATGATGGGCTCCTCACATGGACCAGGTTACTGAATCTCCCTACCCCCTCACCATACCCTGCCCGGGTGCCCATTGGGAGCACTGACATACCTCAGCCCTTCACTCACAAGTACTGACCCTGACTCCTCTGTTCTTCATGAGCACCAGCTGAGAGTGAGGGTGTGATCAAGGGGATCTGCAAAGGGGATCTGAAGAAAGGAGGCAGAAGGATGGTGCAGGGAGTCAAGGTGACGGTAGGTGTCACCCATAAGCTATGTGGGGAAGAAAGAAGGGCTGGGTGATGCTCCCGGACTCAGATCACCATCAAGGAGGAATGCACAACTAGCGGTCTGGGTGAAAAGGTCAGAGCACAAGTGTAGGGAAAAACTTGAGGGAAAAGGCAAGGAGATACGAACAGAGCTCACAGGGATGGTCACTATGGACAGATGATAAGGGAGCTTGGCTGCCAGATGAAGGTGAAGCACTGGCCACATTTCCATGTCGGGAGAGACAAAACTAACACCTCAAGATTAACTTGGCAGGGTGCTCAGAGGAATGGTGGGAGATGAGATTCAAAGCAGTTACAGCACCAGAAACAGAGCAGACATAGGCGATGGGGGTGACAAGGCACTCAGTGACTGCATCTGCTTGCCCTTACAGTGCCGATGCCCAGTTTCCTCGAGGGAAACCTCTCCCAATCCAAGGGACATGTAATAATCTGCAACATTTATTTAGTTCATTTTATTTAAAAATACTTTAGTAAAGTCTCATTTTTTCTGAATAGGGGTATAGTCACCTCAAAATTTAAAAGGTAAAAAGAAATTATAGTGAAAAATCCCCCAAAGATCTACTCAGTTTCCCTGGTTTCTAGTGTAACGTTCCAGATTAATCTAGATTTACACAGCAAATATATAAACATACGTTTGCCTTTTAATGATAAGCTATACCCAACTATGCTATTGCTTCACACCTTATTTTTCTCACTTCATTACGCGTGGGATCTTGCTTACCAGGACACAGAATAAACGCCCCCCTCTCCTCCAGGTCCATATCCTAATCCCTGGAACTTGTGCTTATGTTACACTACATACCAAAAGGGACTTTGCAGAGGGAATTAAGGTTATGGACGTGAATTACCCTGGTGGACCCAATCTAATCAAATGAGCCCTTAAAAGCCTGAGAAGAATCTGAGGGCCACGTGGAAGGACCTTGGAGAGCTAAAGGCCACTCAGGCCGGTAGCCAGCACTTCTGAGGACCAACCCCAAGAAACACAGATTCGGCCAACAGCCTGAACAAGCTTGGAAGCGGAGTCTCCTGGCTAAAGGCTAAGACCGCCCGAGCAGTCAGACACCTGGAAGAGCCAGCCGCCCCCTCCCACAGCAAGCAGCCACAGAGTGGGCCCTGGCCGATCCCTCAGCACCTTGCCCCTTGGGGGAGAACGGGCCCCAACTCTCCTCCCTTCCCAGAGCATCTCCTCCACACGCAGAGCGACTCCACTACTGACTGGGCCTCCCAGGCAGGACATCTGAGGCCGAAACCCCGTTTCTCCCCCAGCTCTGCTCTGTGCATCTCCGACTTCGCTTCGAACACCAGGAACCGCGAGCCCACCACGTCTCCCACGCGCAGGGAACACCGCATCGCACGGCTGCCCCGTCGCTCCGCCCGAGCTCGAACGGCGGCATCGATACGCGGGAACGCCACCAGCCTGCGGGCAGAGTCCTAGCTCGGCCCCCCGCCGCGACCTTACCGCGGGCTCTCCCCGGAGACCCCCCTCCCGGAGGCCGCCCCCAGAGGCTCCGACCTCCAGCCCAGGCCAAGCGGCCCCCGCCCCGCCCCCCCGGCGCTCCCACAACCCCCCGCGCGGCTCCGCCCCCGCCCGGGGTCCCAGTCTCGCCGCCCGCCCCGTCTGAGCCCTGAGAGGCCCCTGGGCCCCCCAACCACGGGGACATCAGGGACAACCGGTGCGGGGTCCGAGGCGTGGAGCTTCGCGGAACTAACTCACCTCAACAGGTCGCGCTTGGAAGGGAGGCAGCACTGCAGCACGAACGCCTCTCAGCCAGCGCCGGCTGACCCCCGGAAGTCCCGCCCCGATTTCCGGCCCGCCGCTCGTTCTGTCTGGGACAGCGTAGCCACTCTAGACGTTGGGAGGCCGGGGCGACTCTGTGGTTCAGCCCCATTCCTGGTCCCGCTAACCCTGAGCCAGGGACCCTTCTGTTCCCCATTTTTTCAGAGTGCACCCGTGCACTGAACAAGGCGGCAATTGAAGAAAAGGGGACACTATTAGAAATGCAGAGATAATGAGATATACTGTTGAGTGGGAGATTTTAATACACAGGCCCCCAGAATCGGAACAGATTGTAATTTGAGAAAAACCTAAGGATACATTTTTTGGAAGAAATGAATCATTCAATCAGTAAGTGATCAGAAAGATAAATGGAAGAATTCAAAGTCCTTCAGTAGATAATGTTTTCGTGAGATTGTGCGTGGATCATTTATAATACGGAAATGAATTGTACACTTGGGCATAAAGAATACAAATAAGGCTGGGTGTGGTGGCCCACGCCTGTAATTTCAGCACCTGGGAGGCCGAGGCGGGCAGATGGCTTGAGGCCAGGAGTTTAAGACCAGCCTGGGCAATATAGGGAGACTCCATCTCTACAAAAAATACAAAAGTTAGCCAGGTGTGATGGTGTGCGCCTGTAGTCCCAGCTACTCAGGAGGCTGAGGTGGGCGGATTGCTTGAGCCGGGGAATGTGCGGCTGCAGTGAGCAGGGATCACACCATTGCACTGGTGAGAGAGTGAGACCCTGTCTCAAGGAAAAAAAAAAAAAAAAGAAACAAAACAACCACCAAAAAAACCCACAAATATTTTAACGTTCATTTTGCAGGCAAATTAAACTATTAAAATCAGGAATACATAAAAAATACACGACAAACTCTATTGGAATTTAAGAAACACTGTGTAGATAACTTTTTTTTTTTTTTTAAAGTTCAGGCGGAGGTGCTCTCAGTTGGAGATGAGGAACTTATTGGAAGCTAGATAAAGGTCATTCTTGCTATGCTTTAGCAAAGAGATTGGTGGCATTTTGGCCCTGCCCTAAAGATCTGTGGAACTTTGAGCTTGAGAGAGATGATTTAGGGCATCTGGCAGAAGAAATTTCTAAGCAGCAAAGCATTCAAGATTTGACATACCTTTTTCTGAAAGTGTAAAGTCATATGCATTCACAAAGAGATAGCCTGAAATGGGAACTTATGTTTATTTTTATTTTTTTATTTCCATAGGTTTTTACATTTTTTATTTCCATAGGTGGTGGTGTTTGGTTACATGAGTAAGTTCTTCAGTGGTGATTTGTGAGTGGTGATTTGGTGCACCCATCACCTGGGCAGTATACATTGAACCCAATTTGTAGTCTTTTGTCCCTCACGCCCTTCCCACCCTTTCCCCCGCGAGTCCCCAAAGTCCACTGTATCCTTCTTATGCCTTTGCATCCTCATAGCTTAGCTACCTCTCATGAGTGAGGACATACGATGTTAGGTTTTCCATTCTTGAGTTACTTCACTTAGAATAATAGTCTCCAATCCTATCCAGGTTGCTGTGAATGCCATTAATTCACTCCTTTTTATGACTGAGTAGTATTCCATCATATATCATATATATGATGGAATACTACTCTCTCTCTCTCTATATATATATATATGCCACAATTTGTTTATCCACTCGTTGATTGATGGGCATTTGGGCTGCTTCCACATTTTTGCAATTGTGAATTCTGCTGCCATAAACATGCATATACAAGTATCTTTTTCCTATAATGACTTCTTTTCTTCTGGGTAGATACCCAGTAGTGGGATTGCTGGATGAAATGGTAGTTCTTGGTAGTTCTACTTTTAGTTCTTTAAAGATGCTCCATACTGTTTTCCATAGTGGTTGTACTAGTTTACATTCCCACCAGCAGTGTGGAAGGGTTCCCTTTTCACCACATCCATGCCAATACCTATTATTTTTTGATTTTTGATTATGGCCATTCTTGTGGGAGTAAGGTGGTATTATTTTGTGGTTTTGGTTTGCATTTCCCTGATCATTAGTGATGTTGAGCATTTTTTCATATGTTTGTTGGCCATTTGTATATCTTGTTTTGAGAATTGTCTGTTCATGTCCATAGTCCTCTTTTTGATATGATTATTTTTTTCTTGCTAATTTGTTTGAGTTCCTTGTAGATTCTGCATATTAGTTCTTTGTTGGATGTATAGATTGTGAAGATTTTCTCCCACTCTGTGGGTTGTCTGTTTAGTCTGCTGACTGTTCCTTTTGCCGTGCAAAAGTTCTTTAGTTAAATTAAGTCCCACCTATTTATCTTTGTTTTTGTCACATTTGCTTTTGGGTTCTTGGTCATGAAATCTTTGCCTAGGCCAATGTCTAGAAGGGTTTTTTCTGATGTTATCTTGTAGAATTTTTATATTTTCAGGTCTTAGATTTAAGTCCTTGATCCATCTTGAGTTTATTTTTTTAAGGTGAAAGATGAGGATCTAGGTTTATTCTCCTACATGTGGCCTGCCAACTATCCCAGCACTATTTGTGAATAGGTTGTTTTTTCCCCACTTTATGTTTTTGTCTGCTTTGTTGAAGGTCAGTTGGCTGTAAGTATTTGAGTTTATTTCTGGGTTCTCTAGTCTATTCCATTGGTCTATATGCCTATTTATTTTTAGCAGTACCATGCTGTTCTGGTGACTATGGCCTTATAGTATAGTTTGAAATCAGCTACTGTGATGTCTCCAGGTTTGTTCTTTTTGCTTAGTCTTGTTTTGGCTATGCATGCTCATTTTTGGTTCCATATGAATTTTAGGATTGTTTTTTCTAGTTCTGTGAAGAATGATCGTGATATTTTTATGGGCATTGTATTGAATTTGTAGATTGCTTTTGGCAGTATGGTATTTTCTCAATATTAATTCTACCCATCCATGAGCATGGGATGTGTTTCAATTTGTTTGTGTTGACTATGATTTCTTTTAGCAGTGTTTTGTAGTTTTCCTTGTAGAGGTCTTTCACCTCCTTAGTTAGGAATATTCTAAAGTATTTCATTTTTTGCAACTATTTTAAAAGGGGTTGGGTTCTTGATTTGATTCTCAGCTTGGTTGCTATTAGTGTATAGCAGAGCTACTGATTTGTGTACTTTAATTTTGTATCCTGAAACTTTGCTAATTCATTTATCATTTCTAGGAGCTTTTTGGAGGCATCTTTGGGGTTTTCTAGGTATATGATCCTATCATCAGCAAACAGCAACAGTTTGACTTCCTCTTTACCAGTTTGGATGCCGTTTATTTTTTTCTCTTTTCTAATTGTTCTGGCTAGGACTTCCAGTACTACGTTGAATAGAAGTGGTGAGAATGGGCATCTTTGTCTTGTTCCAGTTCTCAGAGGGATTGCTTTCAACTTTTACTCATTCAGTATTATGTTGGCTGTGCGTTTATCATAGATGGCTTTTATTACATTGAGTTATGTCCCTTGTATGCCGATTTTGCTGAAGGTTTTAATCATAAAGGGATAGTGGATTTTGTAGGGTGCAGCCCTTCGGTGCTTAGCGGGTGTTCTCCCTGTGTGCAGAGATGAGAGATTGTAATAAATAAAGACACAAGACAGAGAGATAAAGAGAAAGCAACTGGGCCTGGGGGACTACTACCATCAAGACGTGGAGACTGGTAGTCGCCCCAAATGGCTGGGTGTGCTGATATTTGTTGCATACAAGACAAGGGGGCAGGGTAAGGAGGGTGAACCTTCTAAGTGATTGATAAGGTGAAGCAAGTCACGTGATCATAGGACAGGTGGCCCTTCCCTTTTAGGTAGCCCAAGCAGAGAGAGAAGACAGTATACGTCAGCGTTTTCTTCTATGTACTTATAAGAAAGATCAAAGACTTTAAGACTTTCACTATTTCTTCTACTGCTATCTACTATGAATTTCAAAGAGGAACCAGGAGTACGGGAGGAACATGAAAGTGGACAAGGAACATGACCATTGAAACACAGCACCACAGGGAGCGGTTTATGCCTCCAGATGACTGCAGGCAGGCCTGGATAATATCCAGCCTCCCACAAGAAGCTGGTGGAGCAGAATGTTCCCTGACTCCTCCAAGGAAAGGAGACTCCCTTTTGTGGTCTGCTAAGTGTTGGGTGTCTTCCCAGACACTGGCATTACTGCTTGACCAAGGAGCCCTCAAGTGGCCCTTATGTGGGCATGACAGAAGATTCACCTCTTGCCTTCTAGGTCACTTCTCACAATGTCCCTTCAGCACCTGACCCTATACCCGCCATTATTCCTAGGTTATATTAATAATGCAACAAAGAGTAATATTAAAAGCTAATGATTAAATAATGTTTATAATAATTGATAATTGTCCATGATCATCTCTATATCTAGTTTGTATTATGACTATTCTTATTCTATTTTCTTTATTATACTGAAACAGTTTGTGCCTTCAGTCTCTTGCTTCAGCACCTAGGTAATCTTTCACCCACAGGATTTTGCCAAATGCTTTTTCTGTGTCTGTTGAGATGATCATGTGATTTTTGTTTTTAATTCTGTTTATGTGGTGTGTCACATTTATTGACTTGTATATGGTAAACCATCCGTGCATCCCTGGTATGAAACCCACTTGATCATGGTGGATTATCTTTTTGATATGTGTTGGATTCAGTTAGCTCGCATTTTGTTAAGGATTTTTGCATCTATGTTCATCAGGGATATTGGTCTGTAGTTTTTTTGTTATGTTCTTTACTGGTTTTGGTATTAGG